TGGCATAAATTTATGCGATATTTCGTGTAAATTTAAGCGCAATATCGCATAAATTTGCAATATTGTATGCAAGCTTGAAAACGATTTCGCTGTTTATGCCATGTAAAGCTCAAAATTAAACGAAGGGAGATTTTACGCGATAGTTAAAATTCAGATTTTTTTTCTGTGTGGTAACCTTGTCCACATTCACAGAGATTGCTGTCTCCCAGCCCAACACGGAACAAGTGAGCGTTTAACGAATAGTGATTGGACATGAGGCGAGACATCAGATGAATGAAGTCTCGACCCACATCCAACCCCTTGAACTAAGGACTCTTCGACACCTTAGGGATGATCGAGAATAGCCATCGTCCCAAACTTCCTTCGCTCCATTTTTTCTGCCTGTTGACGATAAATGAAGAAAAATTTGTCGTAGGCGATTTGTCGACCGTAAATATCACCTTCCATAGCGCCCAAAAGATCTTAAAGATAAAGCACTTAGAAGCTCTCGTATTTTCATGAGAAAATACGAGGAGTGCTTTACCGGCCTCATGGAGCGAATAGCCTCGACAGAACTGAGACTATCCGTAAAAATAAAATAGTTATCTGGTGGAAGTGAGGCGATCGTTTCTAGCGTATAGTATATAGTCGCCAGCTCAGCAATATATACGGAACAGGGAGCTTGAAGCATTCGAGAGGCACTATGAAATTCGTTATAAATACCAAACGCCTCTATTAATGATCCATCTGTGAAGAACGACCTTGCGGAATCAACTTGGCCAAACTTTGCAGCATAAATCGACGGAACAATCATGGAACGATGATGTTCTGGGATCCCACGAATCTCCCGCGTCATAGATACATCAAAACTAACTGAATTGCCGAAGTCGGAAAAGCATACACGATGAGGATTATGCTGTGAAGGGCTGACATCCTGTGCTATGTACCCGTAGTACATTGACATAAAACGAGTTTGAGGGTTCAGCTCAAGAAGCTTTTCAAAGTTTTCGATTACCAGTGGGTTCATAATTTCACAACGGGTGAGGAGCCTGAGGGACAATTCCGAAAACCGATCCGATAGTGGCAACATGCCCGCCAACACTTCTAGACTCATCGTATGAGTCGAGTGCATGCATCCTAACGCAATACGAAGACAACAGTACTGGATACGTTCCAGTTTGATGATGTGAGTTTTAGTGGCCGACTGTAAACAAAAACTACCGTATTCTAAAACCGATAAAATCGTTGTCCGGTACAACGTTAGAAGATCTTGCGGATGAGCTCCCCACCATGTTCCGGTAATTGTTCGGAGAAAATTGATCCTTTGTTGGCATTTTCGTCTCAGATACTCAATGTGGGATCTCCAAGTGCATTTGGAATCGAACCAGACCCCAAGATATTTGAAAGACATGGAATGAGTGACCGGCTTACCCAAAAGTTGGAGCTTCGGTTGTGCTGGGCTATGCTTCCTAGAAAAGACGACCAACTCAGTTTTCTCCGAGGAGAATTCGATACCTAGCTCGATAGCCCAAGTAGACAAATTGTCTAAGGTATCCTGTAAGGGTCCTTGCAGCTCGACCCTTTTGGGCCCTGTCATAGACACTACGCCGTCGTCTGCAAGTTGTCTCAACGTGCAGTTGTCACTTAGACAATTGTCAATTTCTCTGACGTAGAAATTATACAAAAGGGGGCTTAAACATGAGCGCTGGGGTGATACCAATATAACTAAATCGAGAAGCTGTAGAGTTTCCATGACAAAAGCTCATATTTTTCTCTGACAGCAAATTGTACAAAAAGTTATTTATTAATGGAGAAAGGCCACAAGCGTGGAGTTTGCCTGAAAGGACTTCAACCGATACTGACTTTTTTTTTTTTTTTTTTTTGACTTTAAATGATCTTTATTTTTTTGTGTTTGTGTGGTTTACATGTATGAATTTTCAAGTGACACAGATGCGTCTACTACTTATAACTACTATTTACAACTACAACTACTATATACACCTAACCTACTATATACAAATGGCTTATCAAAGCATGTTCATGATTTCCACACCGGAGCTGCGTAGAGGATCGCCGTTTGTTCACCTTTGAGAGGCGGGATCTACGGCAAATCAGCGGATACAGACATCTAACCAAGGCAGAACACTTGATTACAGTTTTCTCTACATGCGAAAGGAAGAGGAGCTTTTCATCGAACAACATCCCGAGATAGGTAACTTCGGAAGACCACTCAACCCTTGTGCCATCCATGATTACAGTACAAGATGGAGCCGGTTTCAGTTTGGGCGATTGCCGATGGAGGAACATGATCGCTTGTGTTTTGGAGGGATTGATTTTAATTTTCCACGTGGTGGCATAATCAGCAAAGGCGTTAAGGCATCGTTGAAGTTTGTTAGTTATTTCGCGAGGCATCCTTCCTTTGACGGCTATTGCGGTATCATCTGCGAACAGGAAGAACACGCAACCGTCACCGAGGGGAGGAATGTCGGAAGTGTAAATGCTGTAAAGCAAGGGGCCCAGCAGACTGCCTTGCGGGACACCTGCTGGGATGGAAAACGTGTCTGAAAGACAACCATTCAACGATACCTTAAACGACCTTTGCTGGAGGTAGTTACGGGTGATTATAATAAGATGTAAAGGAAAGTTGAAGTTACAAAGCTTGTACACAAGTCCATCATGCCAAACATTGTCAAACGCCTTTTCAACGTCTAACAAGGCCATGGCTGTGGACTTGGATACAGCTTTGTTACTTCGGATGTTATTCATCACCCGTACTAGCTGGTGATTGGTGGTGTGCCCCTTTCTGAACCCAAACTGTTCCGGAAGGAGAATTTTATTTTCCTCGACAAACTTGAGCAAACGATTGAGAATGAGTTTCTCGAACAATTTGCTCAGCGCTGAAAGGAGGCTGATGGGTCTGTAGCTTGAAGGCAATGTTGGATCCTTACCGGGTTTGCGGATTGGTATGATTTTAGCTACTTTCCAGATGCTTGGAAAGTAGTGCAGTGCCAAACATCTGTTGAAGATAGTGGTTAGAAGAGACTGCACTTTCATGCTGAGTCTCTTCAAGATCAAATTGAATATACCGTCAAACCCGGGAGCCTTCATGTTCTTGGTGCATTTCAGCGCTGAGCAAATTTATTGTACTGTAATCATATCCGCCGGAGGCACAACACAAGGGGAGGCATCTAGGTTTTGAACGCATTGCGCAACCTGGTTTTCGAGCGGACTTTGGATAGTCGAGCCAAGCAAATGCGATGAAGCGACATGCTTACCGATCGCATTTGCTTTCTCCTGTGGGGTGATTAAAAGCCGATCGTCATCATTTTCGACTTTGAGAGGTGGAATGGGTTTGGGATGATTTTTCAGGACCTTGGCTACCTTCCAGAATGGTCTGGAGTGGTCGTCCAGATTCTGGACAACACGCCCGAAACTTTCATTTCGGAGTGAGTCCATTCTGGAAGCAATCTGCCTGTTCAGATCGGCCATTTCACGTTTTTTGCCCAGATCTCCAGTCCTCTAAAACTGGCGTCTACGAACATTTCTCAGGCGAATCAAAAGTTGGGTGTGTGAATCAATAGCAATAAACTTACCCCTCACAGGAACTCGTCGGACGCACGCCTCATCAGCTACGGTTATGGCTTGGTGGAGTCCCTCCAACGCTCGGTCGATGTCCTCCACGGTGTCAAGCGGCGGGTTGTCGATGATGTGCCTGTCTACCACGCGTCCAAACTGGGCCCAGTTTACGCGATGGTAGTCCTTGCGCAGGCTTGAAGCAGGAGCCACGTTGCAGCCCAGTTCAGCAACCACCGGTTGGTGGTCGGAGCTGAGTTCGTTTAAGGCTACCGGGTTGGACAAGCTGGTATTTGACAGGAACAGGTCTAGCGTCGATGGGTTGCCCGCCGGAGAGATGAATGTTGGCTCATTCGAAAACCAAACGGAGTACAGCCCATGCTGCGAGTGGTCGAACAGCAGACGACCGTTCTGGTTCTGCTGGTAGTTCCGCCAGGCCTCATGGCGAGCATTTAGATCTCCTCCGATTACGAAGCGGGAACCGGTACGGGTGATGGTGGTCAGGTTCTTCTTGAATTTAGCCGCTAGTCCACTGCTGGCGGCACACTGTCGAGGGCAGTAGATGGCAATGAACTGGACGTATCCAGTCGATGACTTCACCTCCACCCCAAAGGCCTCGATGATAGAAGTGCGGATATGGGACAGAGTGTGGTATTTTATTCCTTTCTTGACGACGACCGCAACACCCCCCCCCCCTGGAGCTGGTGCGATCAAGCCGGATAATGTTGTGGTCAGGCAACCAGAAGCTGTCGCCGGACTTTAGATGGGTCTCGGTTAGAAGGCCCACGTCGATGCTGTGCTTGCGGAGGAAGTCGGCAAGCTCAATCTCTTTTGCTCTTACAGAGCAAGCATTCCAGGTGACGATAGTTAGCGGTTTAGAAGCCATACTGGATGATGAACTTACCGAGCACTTGGATCTGTTCGGGCTTATTGCGGCACTTACGAAGAGCACCGGACATGTTGACGAAAATTTCCATCAGGTCATCCGCTGAGAACAGATCGGGGTTGTTGTTTTGCGCTGTTGGTTGTCTCCAGAATCCAGGGGGGGGGGGGATGGAGAGCTTTGGCCAGCAGAATCACCGGAAGTTGCTTGAGTGGGATGCACCCGCGGATTCGCTTGCCTTTGCTGAGGAGCACGAAGAGGCGGGAAATCCTCCGTCCGAAATGCCGGGACTTTGTCCTTCTTGCGTCCTGGTTGGTTATTAGTTGCCGCCTGTTTTCGGATGCGTTTGAAGTCCTCGCGTTTGGAGCACTGTCTGTCAGAACCTTGATGTGCACCACCACAGTTGGCGCATTTTAACGCCACGGCTCCATCCGCAGGGCAGTCAGAAGTGGCGTGTTCGTGAGCGCAGTTGCTGCAGCGTGGCTTAATGTTGCAGTTGCGAGTGCCGTGTCCAAAGTTCAGACATCGTTGGCACTGGGTCACATCGCGATGGCCTCCACGGTACGGCTCCCATCGTACGATGATGGAGTATATTGAGCGAATAGCCTGCAGCGCATTCAGCGTCACCGATCCCTTCTGGAAGTGCACCAGGAAAAGACAATCCGGGTACGTGTTCACGTTTTCGTCTCTCCTCGTCATCCGAAAGACAGCGGTTGGGGCCAGCTTGTACCGGTCCTTGAGTTCTTCTTCGATCGCCTTGGGATCAACATTTGGTAGACCCCTGATGACTACCTTGAAGGGTTTCTCACCGGGGATGTCGTGCGTGAAGAATTCCGCCTTGGAATCCTTCAGATATTTCACGGCTACCTCGTACTCCACTTTCGTACGGAGCATCACCTTGGTGCCGATCCTGCCGAGCTTAAACTCAGCTGCAACGCCCAGCGATGCGAAATCGCCAATGAGCGTCTTGAGAGGCACTACCTTCACCACCAGTGGAGGAAGCTTGACTTTCGCCGCACTCGGGCCGGCAGAATTCTCGGTTTCGATGGCGTCGCCGAAATCACCAATGTCGCTGGCGTTCGTCGCGGTAACATCGTCGCGTCCGCTCGTACCATCGGACTGTCCTTGATTCTTCTTCCTCTTTTTCGTCCGCTTCACCGGGACTGGGTTGGTATTCCCAACATCGGTGGGAAGAGTAGCGTACCTATTCGAAATAGGTACACTCAAGCTACACTCATCACTGTTCTTCTTTTCCGCTTTCTCACGGAGCCTGCTCCGGGAGCGCTGTCTTCCCATCACACGAAGCGACCGGCACTACGCGATTAAACTGCGAATGTTTGGAAAAAACTAGGAACTTTCGAACAACTCGACAGAGCGAGCAAAGACCGAACTGTACTGCTTGACGTTCAAGCAGAGAATGTCAACCGATACTGAATCAAAAGCCCCCTTGATATCCAAGAATACAGAAGCCATTTGCTCTTTTTTAGCCAAAGCCAACTGAATTTTTGTGGAAAGCAACGCGAGACCATTCGAGTCGTTCCCTTGCCCCTACGGAATTCAAATTGAGTATTTGAGAGTAGGTGGTTCGCCTCAACCCATTTGTCCAAGCGAAAAAGGATCATTTTCTCCAACAATTTTCGAATGCACGATAACATCGCGATGGGACGATACGAAATATGATCCGAAGCGTGTTTTCTAGGCTTTTTAATGGCTATAACTCTCACTTGCCTCCAATCATCCGGAACAATGTTGAGCTCCAGGAACTAACAACACAAGTTCAACATGCGCCTCTTAGCGACGTCTGGGAGGTTCTTCAACAAGTTGAACTTGATTCTATCAGTCCCCGGAGCCGAATTGCCACACGATAGGAGCGCGAGTGAGAGTTCCAGCATTGAAAAAGGCTGACTGATCTCGTCTACCAAATTCGTCGTTTCGCGAGGAATCATCTGTGCCGGCACGGAATCAGGACATACTTTTCGCGCGAACTTGAGAATCGACGATCTGAGTACTCCTCGCTCTCGTTGTTCGAAGACCGGTTACGCATCCTTCGCGCCGCGTTACAAAGCGTATTCATCGACGTTTCGTGCAATAATCCGTCCACGAATTGCCGCCAGTATCCGCGTTTCTTGGCTTTGATGAGGCTCTTGAGTTCGCGTTCAAGAGAAGAATACGCTTAGAAATGTACGGGTGTTCCACGTTTCCGGAAAAGCTTAAACGCGTCGGACTTTTTACGATAAACCTCAGTGCATTGCTGGTCCCATCAAGGGGAAGGAGGTTTCCTACGGAAAGACGTTCCAGGAACCGGCCAAGTTTGAGCTCGAAGCGCACTGTTCAAGATCAGATTGGAGAGAAAGTTATATTCCTCCAACAGTGGAAGCCCTTCTACCGACGACATGGCTTCCTCATTCGCGATCTTGAACGTTGTCCAATTGATATCATGATATTATGATCACTACCATGGGGATCTTGGATCACATTCCACGTGCAATCCAACGATAATGAGTTAGAACAAAGTGTGAGGTCTAATTTACTTGCATTTGAGGATGGACCAGCCAAACGTGTTACTTCTCCATTGTTAAGAATTGTCATATTGAAGTTGTCACAGAGGTCATATATCATAGTAGAACGGTTGCCATCATACAGTTCCCCCCAGCCTGTACCGTGGGAATTAAAATCTCCCATAATCAACCGTGGACCAGGAAGTAACGAACAGATATCTGAAGGTTGTTTTCGATTAACAACGGCTCTAGGAGGAATGTAAATAGAAGCAATACAAAGGCTCTTACCTTTAATAATAGCCTGACATGCAACAACTTCAATACCTGTAAATTGTGGAAGATTCACTCTATAGAAAGAATGGCACTTTTTGATCCCCAAAAGTACTCCTCCTCCACGCGAATCCTCACGATCCACTTGAATAATGTTAAAATAATAAAAAGGAAGATCGACATCTGAAGAGAGCCAAGTTTCACAAAGAGCAAATGCATCACAATCATTATTGTGAACTAAAAATTTAAAAGAGTCTAATTTAGGAATAAGACTTCGACAATTCCACTGTAGAACAGTGATCAAATCCCCGACCTCGTTTGGAAAATTATCAATCCCAGTAAATGATTGCTGCAAGGAGGGGCCACTTCAATGTCAATTGCTTCAAGAGGGTCTTCACAGCAGGAAGCATTGCCAGAACAATGCTTTTGAGAGGATCAGAAATATTCAGGTACTTGAGGATATCGTCCACAATTTTATCAAATGAGAACAACCCAGATGAAGAAGGGGCTTCTTTTCTTAAAAATGGGACATCAGAGGTTTTGGATGTCAACGGGAGATGTGGAAAATCCTGGGTATAGTCAGTTCTTCTGAATCGGAGGAGTAGAAACTTCCTTTTTTCCATCACTCCTTGATTTGGGCAAGCTGATTTGGGGTTCTTCATTGTCAACTTTCCGCGAACGGATGCGTTTTCGTTTCCGTGCAGAAAAACGGAAAGAAGTTCCCTCCTCAGCCAAGTCAGAGTCAGTCTCGTCATCTGACAAAAGAGAAAAGGGATTTTTGTCGTTGATCGATGGCGTGGCCGTCTTAAGCATTGCTGCAAAAGTCTACCGGGAACGTTCCTTAAGTGAGCGTTGTAATTTCTCCCCGCGTTGTTTGTACACCGGGCACGACGAGAGACCATGAGGAGTTCCCTTACAGTACACGCATTTTGGTGCAGTGACTGTGCAGGCGCCATCCTCGTGCTTCTCCCCGCATTTGGAACAGCGTGCCTTGCTGCCACAGTGGGACGCCGTATGTCCCAACTGCTTACAGTTTTGGCAGTTCATGACCCGGGGAACGAACAAGCGCACAGGTAGTCGAAGTTTTCCCAGCTCTATGTAGTGAGGAAGCTGACAGATACTGAGCCCAGTTTTTGGACATCCAGTATCTTCACCGGGGGAAGCAAACGGTTCTTGAAACGGCCAACCGCCTGCTTCTCCAAGATCTCGGGGGTCAGACTCGCTTCGGAGACCACACCTTCGATCTCCACATCACGAGCTGGGATGTAAACTCTATACTCGAACGTAAAGAGCTGGGAGACAGCAATCTCATTAGCTTGCTTCAGGTTAGAGACGGACACACGAAGTTTATTGTGCCTAACCTTAGTGATTTCGGTTAATATTTTCAACGATGATGATTTCCTATAGTGACACATATCACCTTCTCAATGCTTCAGTATGCCTCAAACGATTAATTCTTGGTTGTTAATAGAGTAAATCGGAGTACAATAAGGTCCCAAAAGGTTCTCCATCCAGAAACGCGAACTTGTATCCAAGTTATTTCCAAGTTCAGAAGGCAAAATTGTTAACCAAATACTAACGGAATGACGGTAACCAAAATTTCGACAGACGTTAAGCTTCAAGAGTTGTTGGATCACACAGCAACGAGAATAATTACAGCGAATCCAGATAAACTTTATAGTTTATCTGATAGCTGCCACTTAACGTAATAATGACGGTGGGGTTTTGATGGAAGTTCAGGCCATTCCGAATCTTAGCAGCGATTCCGTAAACGATCAATGTTCAATCTGACGGAAAATTCATCTTTCAAAATCTTCGGCGGTCTTCAACTCGGTATTGTCGTCCGCTCCATATTCAGTTTAATAATGAAACTTCGGAAATATCGATTCAGGAGAATGATTATGTCGACCGCCAGTTGCAGCCAACACGCATTACTATCAACGGTCGGAATGTTGTCACCACATACGAGATGCTCATGACTATGGTCGACGGCAAAGTCTTTAATTCGGTAACATCGACAAACTCTGCACATAATGTTACATCTGCGGTGCAACGCCTTCACAGATGAACGATCTTGATAGGGTCAAAAAACGGACAGTAAATGAAGATGTTTTCAAGTTTGGTTTTTCGACGCTACACGTGTGGATAAGGTTCTACGAATATTTTCTTCATGTATCTTATCGTTTGTAAAAATAATGCAAAGGAAAAAGATTATTCAAGAACGATTTCGAACTGCAATGGGTCTAATTGTAGACAAACCTCGTTCAGGTGGAGCCGGAACGTTTAACGGCGGCAATAGTGCACGTCCAGAATTGGGAAAAGTCAGTGTCAATTACAGGCATAGATGGTTCACTATGATACAAATGTAAATCAATTCCAGAAGCACTTTCATCGAGATTATAGATCGACACTACCAAATTTGAAGAATATTGCTATGAAACAGCGAAAAGATTGATTGACAACTATCCGTGGTATTACCTACCAGTATCTGTTCATAAAATTTTGCTGCATGGATCACAAATAATATCGTCGTTTCTTGTTCCGATCGGAAAATTGTCCGAAGATGCCCAGGAGTGCCGAAATAAAGACATCAAGCGCTACAGAGAAGATCATTCTCGTAAATTCTTCAGAACCACAACGAACACAGATCTCTTGAATCGGCTCCTGGAATCATCCAACCCCCTCATTTCAAGTCTACGATCACTTCCTAATATAAATAGAATGCCATTATCCGCTGAGCCAAAGCTCTTCTTATTGAAACAACTGAGTCCAGCTCTGATCACAACGACGTGAAGAATGAATGTTTTCCATGGCTAATTTTCTTGCCAAAATTTTAATTAAACTATCTTACTTAATTAATTTACGTTTGAGGTTTATTTTTTATTTTTTTGATTCTGTAAATATTGTGTAACGACATAGATATACGTTTATAACATGAAGTAAACTACTGCAACTTTTAATAATGAGAATAATGAGAAGGAAAAAAAATAATTTAAATTAGCAATTCAAATTATATGTCTTTACCAACCTTTGTTAATAATAATTTTATAAGCGGCGGAGGTTTTCAATTACCAATGAGGGCATTTGTTACAACTCTTATTGCAATGTTCCTCCGAAGATCTCCTA